CCTTGGAGAGGCCAGTGCAGGAGCAGTACTTGCTGGGCACTCATCTGGATGCATTGTACCACCCACCAGCTTAATATCAGGACCTAAGGTTGAATTTGACGATGAGTCAGTTTCTAATCAGCTCCGAAATGTTCTTTACAGAAGTGAGAAATCACAGAAAAGAATGAGAGACAAAGAACCTGGAGATGGGCAGGCAGGAACAGATGTTAGCCAAGGCCCAAGGGTCACAGCGAGAGAAAAAGACAAGTAAAGAATGGAGTTACAGAACATTTGATTGTGGCAGGATGAATGCTACAGCATTTGTCCTTTTGCTTCTTAGCACCAAGATGGTGGAGGCTCTGTTGAGAGTTTGTGACTCCTGTTAACTAAGAGCGATTTAGCTAGGTTTTAGATGCATGGTTTCAGAATGGGAAGGAGTATCTTGCTTCTTCTGAAGGGTGGTGATGTGGCATCTTGATGTGAGGGTCATTTACAGGACCAGAATGGGAGAGGACTGAGTGGGTTCTGCCTGGTCCCCACAGATCCACACAGAGCTGTGAGGGAAGAGGATGAAGCTTGGTATAGTAGGAGTCCTGGCTAGCTGTGGTCTCAAGGGCCAAGGACACCAGGGCCACAGAAAGGAGACCTGGGCTCAGGCACTGAGCCCTTGCCCGAGGAGGCAGCTTAGGAAAAGGTGAGTTTTAGGGATCATGGGCCTCCATATGAAATAAGGGGTAAGAATTGAAGTGGCCTCTACCCAGTGGCATAGGTCTTTGGTCTCCATCTATGAAGGATAAAGAGAATCACTTTTCGTTTCCTCTACCATATAGCAATCTGGTGGTGAAATTTGTAAAACTAAATAGCTACTTTACTTAAACAGAATCACGAGTAGACTAGGGGCATTTTCCTGAGCTGAAAATGTCCTAGAGATAGCCAGAAGCCACCACGCGCATCCTAGTTTTTTGGTCTGTGATCTCCTGTTTTGTGTTACTCAACATCTGGCCAGATGTGTGTGTGTGTGTGTGTGTGTGTGTGTGTGTGTAGGGGAGAGACCCTGGGTCTAGAGATTGGCACTGACATGTCACAGACCACAGAGTCCATCAGCCTTACTTCCATCTTTGCCTCCTTCTACTTCTCTCCCTCTCTGCCTTTGCTTGCTTTAAACCAAGTACGTATTGTTAAAAACAAAGCCTGTTTTAGAGATACTCTATCAGCTAGGTATGTCATGTGCACTTGTAGCTTCAGGCCTCAGTTTCCCTAGATGTAGAGCTATAGGAGGGTTGGAACCCCGGCCAATGTTCTTCAGTCACTGTGGGGAAATGCTACTGTTAAAAGTGAAGATGCAGATATGGGGTGAGGGGGCCCCTCTCATTTCCTCGCTGCTTGAGTCTCCTCTCACATTTTTTTGGATGTACATCTAAGAGTGAAATTGTTGCGTCATGTAGTAGTTCCGGTGTGTAACTTTTGAGGAACCTGTTTTCCCTTTTAAGTTTTACCAAGCCTTGTGAGCATACCTTTCCCTTTTGAAGACTGGGAAATCAATATAGAAAAATGGTAACATTTCTTAAATCTGATTGGTTGATTCATGAGTATTTCCCCCTCCCCCTCCCCCCCCCACAGTTAACCTGGATTTGATGGCAAAATTATAAAATCAAACAACTTCTAAGCCTTAAATCTCATGCCGTGTTGAGTAGCAGGATGAAATCTCACACTGCTTTGCTCTGTCCACCATTCCTTGGTTTAGTGTATCCATGGTATACATTCTACCCTCCTGGTGGTCACTTAGTAGCTTTGCTGGTTATCAGATTGAATGTGGTAAAACCACAGTGCTTATGTACAGGATTCTGTATTGTTTATGGCCTCATGACTCCATTGGAGCTTTCTTCTGCGTATAACAATAGTTTGAGAATAAACTAGAAATCAGATGTCCTGGCTAGAAACTCAAAGGGTTTGAATTTGAATGTGAGTGCCCCCCCCCCACAATTCCATCTCCTTTGTGAAAGTGGCAAAGCCACCAAAGACCAGAAGTTAAACCCTACCCACATGCTGACAGGGAGAGAATCAGTGCTGAAATTCCTACGGATGGTTTTAAGTATTATTGAAGTTTTATTTGTGGAAAGGATGGTGAATTCCAATTTCCAGTTCACTCAGCATATATTTCGGATTGATTTTTGTTTGTATAGAGAGGATCTGAGGAAAAGTAGTAATTAAGTAGACTGGAGCCAGTGGGGGAAGTCGGAGGCAGGCAAGACATACAGCTGCCCCAGTGTGTGCAGAAGGGCTGTGGTTTGGACACAGGTTTAAAGAGATGGATACTGGAGGACTTTCTGCGGGACAGCATTCTCCAGTGAGGGCCATAGAAACTCTGAATTGCAGAATGTGATGATATGTAGAATTTGGAGTTGGTGGACATGAATCCTTTTCTGTTCCAACTTTGAAAGAGAATCTCTTAAATTCTGTATCCTCCTATGTCCAATGGAGATGTCTCCCTTCCATCCTAGGGACAGATGGACGCCTGTCAGTGTCCGTGTCAGCGCTCTGTCAGCCTCTGTGTGAAAACTGGTTCACATAGGCCCTGGCCTAGTGGAAACCGGATCACTCAGGTTTCTTTCCAAAAGATGAGCATTACAATCATATCCATTATGATCATCTCAAAGGTGATGCTCTCCTGAAATACGTCTCAAGCCATGCTGAGCCCATGACTAGAGGAGGGGGGGAGGGAGGAGAAAAACATTAAACAGCCAGAGCACCCTCTTCCCTGTCTGTGTTCCAGCTTCTATGACAAATTCCTTAACATGTCAACACTCTTGCCCTAAGCTCTATTTTTTCTTTTTTTTTTCTTTTTTTCTGTTTGTGAAGCTCTCGTGAGCTGGGCGTGCCTGGAAGAGTGACTGAGGACCCCAGGGCTCTAACCCAGCAGGGCTTTTAGTCACAGGGATGAGCTGTGGATCCTTTACCTGTACTCCTTTCCTCCCCCAGCCCCCCTGAATTCCCCCACACCCCAACTCGATTGCCTGATCAGTGAGCAGTCTCCTGAGTGCAGGGCCTTGTCCACGTCCTCATCCTCTCTCTGCAGTACCTGCTCACAACTGGCAGGTAACAGAGCACCAGGTAATATTTGAGGACCGGGTGACATTGTCTACCTGATAACCCAAGTTGCTGCAAAGGACAGGACCAGCACTTCACCCTCACACCCCAGCTTCAGGGCCAACTTCCTGAACATTCCTGTCACAGGACCTCTCTTCCCCCACCTGGGTAGTTCACCAACCTGACCTCTCACCTGGGCCTCCTGGGTGCACTGCCTCTTGGGTGATGAGATCACTGTGACTCTGAGGGACCTCAAAGCCCCCCCCCCCCCCCCCCCCGCACTTCCCTAACCCCGCCCCTTTCCCCAGTGTTCAGCCTCCTTCACTCCTGGCTTCTGCCTTCCAGCTTTAGAAACACCACTATTTGTTTCTGTATGCATATATACATACATACATGTATGTGTGTATGTATAGAGGTATATATATGTATATATATATATATAGTTTTTTCCTTCTTCTCCACTGTGTCCTTTTACTCAGCTAAGTGAGTACCTGTCCTTGGATTTGCTAGGCTTCTCCAAGCTGATTTCACCAGAGAGGGGTCTCCTCTTATGCTGAATTCCTAGAGCCCCCTCCCCCTTCTCTCTTTCAGAGGTACTGCCTGTGTTGTCATGTGTCACCTGTCAGTGTGCTACCGTGGTGACAAACAGCCTGGCCCTTCCTATAAACACTGAGAAAGCGTAGAAGCAGACAGACCTGATGTAATGCCTGCTCTTTGCTTACTGGGCCACCTTGGACATGAGGTTTGCCTCTTTAAGCTGTTTCTTTTAACTATGGGATGACAGTCGCAATGCCCACATCCCAGTGTGGGTGAGGGAATGGAAGGCGGAGCTGGGTGGGCTTGGCTGGGCGCAGGGCTGCTGAGCTCCAGCCACCGTTGCAGCTGCTGTAAGTAGGAAAAGCATTTCTAGGCTGCGGAGACAGAAAGTCTCCAAAAGTCTTTTAGAAAATAACAACCAATCTTTCTGAAGTGTCCCTTCCAGGACATTGGGAAACTTGTCAAGAAATTAGGCATCTGGCACAAATCCTATTTTGAAAGTTGAAAACAACAAAAGTTTCAAGGCACACGTGAATCTCTCTGGCAGTTTCCATGCGTTAAAGGGAAAGATGCCTGTGCGTGGTGAAGGTGCGGAGCCACGACGAATTAACTTTCCCTTAGAATCGGAGCTACCTCTTCAGTGAGGATCAGATGCAGGACGCACCCTCCCCCCCCCGAATTGCAGGACCCTCCCCACACAGTGACATATTGAAGAGGCCCTAGACCTAGAGTACAGGCGCCCGGGGAGCAGGTGGAAGGCAGCAAATAATTGTTTTCTTGGGCGACAGATCTGTGGATTGGTGGTAATCCACACAAAACACCCTCCACACACCCACCAGGCGCTAGGGGAGAGCTGTGGACCCCACCTCCCACCTCCTACCTCTCACCTCCTACCTCCTACCTCCCACCTCCCACCTCCTACCTCTCACCTCCTACCTCCTACCTCCTATGGCCCGGGGCAAACTCGCGCCGGCTTCGGGGTCAAGCAGGAGGCGCTGTCGGCCCATCTCCGCCTCCAGGCTCGACCTCGGTCTCCTCCTCCTGGCATTGGGTTTGAAGCCCCCGCAGCTGGGAAAACAGACTGGGAAGACCTACAGGGGCCCCGGCTCGGCTCCTCCCGGAGCCTTCCCTAGGGTTTGGGCACAGTCCCAGCCAGCCTTCTTCCCTCCTGCCGCTCAGGGCAGGCTGGACTGGAAGAAAGAGCTGGGCGGCCGGGGCGGGGAGCCCGGACTGGGGAGCGCCCTGATTGGGGCGCTGTGTGTCCCAGGAGCAGCGCAGCCCGGTGGGGATCGGGTCCGGGGGGCTGGGGGGGGGCGGCGGCCTCTTCGGGAGGTCCAGCAGCGAGTGTGACCTCACGGGGAGGGGCCAGCGCGGCCGGCCGGGTGCCCAGCCGAGTGCAGAGCGCGCAGCCCAGCGCGCAGCGCGGCGCCGAGGGACGGAGCTGTGGGAGCGCACGGCGGTGCAGGACGATGGAGCGGTACAAAGGTGAGGCGAGGGGCTCGCCGGGAGGGCTAGGGCTAGTTGCTGGGATTCAGGTGAGCTGATCCCGCCTGGGGAACGTGGGCCGAAGTGGGGGCGACAGAGACGGTGGTGGGTCAGGCAGCCCTGGTGGAAGCTGACGGCAGGGGTGGGCACGGGGCATAGCCTGACTTCTCACCTGTAGGCGAGGGTGCATCGGATCCATCCCCCGCTCCCCACTTCCCTGCTAGGAATTGGCTGTCTAGGGTCGAGGAGGGGGTCCCCACGTATGCTCGCAGAAATCCTGCAGTGCCCCCGAGGATAAAGAGGCAACTTATTAGGTCCCCTCGCTCAGGCGCCACGGAGCTTGGGGGGCCTGCTGGAGAGGGGGTGCCTGGGATGGCTGGGTGGCCTCCCAGAACCCCCTCCCCCCCCCCCCCGCTTGGTGAGCATTCTTCTTGGAGCCCGTCTTCCACCTCCAACCCCCTAAACGGACTGGGATGTGTGGGTTGGGATCGGGCGTCCGGCCCAAGGGCTCAGCCCAGTGCACAGCTGAGTGAGCTTGGGCCTGGGCGGATCTTGGCTAAACACGAATGGGCGGGCTGGCGAGGGGGGAGGGTGGGGGGGCGATGCCCGGTGCCCAGCCGGCACCTGTTTTTCTTTGGGGCTGCAGGTCTTGAGAGCTGCCGGGTGGCTGTGTGTGCGCCCACTACCCGCCTTGCCCATGGAAAAGCCTCTTCTTGTGCGTTCTTGGGCAGGGCTGGTCTGGGCCAGACCTGCGTGGGGGGCGTGGGGGGGGGATACGGCTGGCTTCTATATTTGTTTCCCCCTGGGAGAGAGTAATAAAAGAATGTTCAGATTCCCAGGGAATCTCACCCTCATGCCTTCCTATTTCTGGAATAAAGGGACCTTTGGGGACAGGCTTTAGTTTTCCTAAACTAGTGATGTGACTTTTCCTTTTGCTTTCTCTCATCTGCTGGGCAAAGCTTAAAGACCCTAATGCGAGAGCATCCTTAACCGGCCAAGGTGGGGGCTTTTGCTTAACAGGAGGGAAGTTGGTGGGGTGGTCGGGTAATTAAGTGGCGACCTTCCATTTCTTTCAGCCACCAACTCTCCCTGGAGTCTCATTCAGGTTCCTCAGTTCCTCACAGGGTGGCTTATATTCATCTCAAGTTCTGCTAGGGCCAAGTGAGTCTGGTCCAGGCTCAAACATGGGAGGAGGAGACAGAGGGATGCTTTAGGAAATGTCAGTGGTCTCCCTCTCCATGCTGTGGGCTGTGGGAGAGAGCTTCCCTCCTCAGGGAATTCAGGCCTTGTGTGTCTCCTTACCTGAAACATTGACCTCCCCAAGGCCCCTTCAACTTCCTGAATTGCGCAGTTGTAGTTGTGGGGGGGGGGAGGGGGGGAGGGGTTGGCCTCAGATTGAGGATCCAGGTTATTTAGCAAATTAAGTCAGGACAAATAAAGGTGGCCTCTTTCCAAATGTGCATTTTCATCTGCTGTTTTATTTTAATTATTATCGTTGTTGTTACTAGCTCCTGACTTGGCCTTGGACTAGATAACATCTTTTTTAGTTTATCTTCCTATTATCCTGGGAGTTGAAAATCCTCCCAGTCTCCAAGAGGATCTGTTGGGGGCTTTTTGCCAACTTGAAAACAGCTTAGTTTCCAGGTGGGGATGTTTATGTTTTTGGAAACATATCTGTCTAATCATTTTGCAGTAAATCAGACAGGAGAGTGATCTGGGCATGAACTGGAGAATTCTCTGGATGGTAGAGGCAACTCATCTCTTACTGTGTGACTCACAAGAAAAATGTTCATGACAATGTTTCACTGGTGTCATGCTACTAATATTTTTGTGTTACTTTCCCCTGAGGAATTTGGAGATCCCCCACACCTGTGGAGAATTCTCTGTTCTCTTAAAAGGTATATGAGTTGTGCTTTGAAAAACTTACTGAATAGAAAATGAAGACTGCTGGACTACATCTCTGACTAATGGGGTGTTCTTGACTGGAATTAGTCAGATATTGGGAGCTTTTTATGTAAGGTGAGACTAAATAGTTATAGAATAACTTGGTGTGGTGGTTTAAATGATAAAGTAAAAGGGAACACAAAGTCTAGTTGAGCTCTTAGGACTTATGCAAAAATTAAAAAGGATAATTTTTATAATATATGACACTCCTTCCCCCCCCCTTTTTTTTGGCAGTGCTGGGTTTTGAACTCAGGGTCTTATGCTTGTTAGGCAATCTTCCTACCATTTGAACCATACCCTCTGGTCTTTTTGCTTTTTGTTTATTTTTCAGGTAGAGTCTCACTTTTTCCCAGGGCTGGCCTCAGGCCATAATCTTCCTATCTCTGCCTACCACGAGGCTGGGATTACAGGTTTACACCATCATGCTCTGCTAAATCCTTCCTGTGTTTCTAAATTCCCAATTTGAGTTCTACTTCTACTAGCTGGGATGCTTCATTACTGCCTTTAGAATCTCAAAATGTGTTCTCTTAATTTGTAGATCTTTGGAAGCAGTTAGTGTAGGAGAAATTTCTTTCTCATGCTTCCCAGACTGCTCGTTAGCCATTGTACATCCTCCAAGACTTAGTCTAGCATCATTGCTAGGGTCTAGGATGATTTCCCATTGTCTTGTGGGATATAAAGAGAGACTCAGGACTTCCGTGTCATTGGAACATTACCCCAGGTGTGGTACAGAAAAATGTCCAGCCCTTTACCAAACCTTCTGCAAGATAGTCAAGGCTTTTTCAAGCAAAAATCGGGGTGTGGGAGTATGAGGGAGGGGCTCCCTTCCAGGAGGGATGAAACTTTTATGAAAGTTGCCATTATAAAATAGTGATGAAGTTGCTGTGTCTTGCAGGTGAAACTTTGTCATGTTATACAAGCAATAAGACCCTTAGAAGAGCCCAGGGTGTGGTGCCAAGGCCTACAGGGTGTCTTGCAAAGGTTTTGTGTGTTTACTTATCTAGATCATTCTAGGCACATCCTGTGTTACTGTACATGAACCCACTGGCTGAACTCACTCCATGTGGTCAAGGATTTTGGTTCCTATTGCTCCTCCAGCTGGTGAGTAGACTGGGGCCAAGTGTGACTGACCTACTATCTGTGGATTGCACTTGGAACCAGATTCCAAAGCTTCCTGAACTTGCATCACATTTGGATCCCAGTAGGTCTCACTGAAATATTCAGAGAGAGTCACTGGTTGGACATATAATCCTTCTTTTCCCATTTTGTTTGGTTTCTGAGCCTAACTGCCTGCTTCTTCACCTAGTTCTGGCGCATTTGGATGTGGAAAGGGACTTTGGAGAGTTGAGTCAGGAAAATGCCTGAAAACCTGTGTGAAATTCCTGAAACTGGTGATCAGGGAAGATCCAAAACAAGAAAAAGGAATTAAGAGGAAGTGGTAGATTGATACCATTCTTCTTTCAGGAATAATCCTTTTCCATGCTTTGGAGCTGGGGGTTGTACATAGTGAAGCTTTACCTAAACAATGGTGCTTTTTCTCTTGAGACAGGCTGCCATAGTGTAGTTAACATTGGCTTGGAACTTTCTATCTAGCTCAGGCTGGCCCCATACTTGACATCTTTCTGCCTGCCTTCACTGCGTAAATGCTAGAATTAGAGATGTGCTTGACCATAGCTGGTTGTAGTGGTTCTTAACTTTACCATGCTGTACATGGAATCAATCAGACAGCTTAAAAAATTGTGGATGTGAGGGTGAGGCATAAATATATGGGCTCCAGTGGATATTCTAATGTAATTATTAGAGTATAGCTTGCGTTTTGTAGGTTTAAAAAGGTTTCCAGGTGATATTGTATGTGCAGCCAAGGTTGAAGCCATAAGTCCTTTAAATTAAATGTCAAAATATAAAAAAATTAAAATAGAATTGGGATCTGGAAAGAGTTGATCTAGGGTACCCAGGAATACCAAAACCTGAGGATGTGCAAGTCTCTTACAGAAACTAGTGTCCGATTTGCAAATAACCTACTCAAATTCTACTGTATACTTTAAATCACATCTCAATGACTTGACTAATACAGTGTAAATAGTTGTTACACTAAATTGCTTGGGACATAATGACAAGAAAACAGTCTGTACATGTTTGATACAGATGCAACCCAAGTAGGCCTAATTGCCTGGTTCACATCAGCAACTGCCCCCCAAATGGGGGCTCGGGGCTTGTTTGATCTGAGCATGCAAAACCCATGGATCTAGAGATCCAATTAGAATTATAGACTCACCTGCCTTACCTGATGTGTTTAACCAAATCTTATGATGCCTGCTGAAATCTGATGTAATTCGCCTTCAGCTATTATAGGCTTTAAAATGCAATGAAAATGAGGCTTGAGAAGAGTCTCGATGTGCAGCTTCACAATCCTAAGCTAGGGTTTGCTCATTACACTTGACCCCGTGCCCTCTTGACTTTGAGACTCTCAGTATGGGAGCCCTGGATGCTGAGCCAGTGAATTTTGGAACAGAAAGCTTGAGGGGTCAGGCTAGACCAGAGGGTGGAGGAGTCAGGCCCTTCCTCTCTCCAGAAGGAGAGGGGGAGATGCTCTGAGAATTGGACTGCTTCCAGCACAATTAAAGGGCTAGGAAGGGCCAGGGAGCTTCAAAGCTGAGGAAGCTGTGCCAGCTTTCTTCCAAATCCCTTTAATGACAGGAAATGTTCCTCTAAAGGCTTCTGTCCTTCAGGGGAGTGAGACCAGCCACCCCCTCCACCCCTGCCCCGGCTAGGGAGGATGGTATGTTCTTTGAGAAAAGAAGGAGAGGCACACTGTCATAGTTGAGAATATAGACACACATGTGCTCTGCTTCTGTGGGCCTCCCAGTCCTCAGTTTCCCCATGTGGAAAACAGCCCTCTGGTATTTCTCCACATGACTCTCCAACCAGTCGTCTATGCTAAGTTGCTCTGTGGTCTGAGGACTTTTAGAGAGGGAGAATGTAGCTGGAGAGGAGCTAGGGAGCATGGGGAAGTTCACCCAGCAAGGGTCAGTTTAGGATTGTGGTTCTTATAAATA